GAATTCATTTTTTAACAAGCGCCTTTTCTGATTAAAACACAAAGGGTTAAACAAAAGTTTATCTACAGTTGAAGGCTTATTGGTAAGTTGTGCTTTCAACTTCCTCGGCAGCAAAGGACAACTCTAGATCGCTAATTGAATCCTCTTCCAACCAGTCGCAGACGTCTTCATCTAATGCACCCACCAGCTCGTTGTTCTCACAGCTGCAACATTTTTCAAGTGAGAGTAACCCACAGCTCTCGCAAGGTTTTAATTCATCCTTCCCTCTGGGATGACTTGCCAAGTTGCAAATAACTTGATTACATAAGCTCGTTGTGGCAGTTCTTTCTGCCCCATCCCATGTAGGTTCTCTGTTGCCATTTTCTAATGGTTCCACACTTTCTCTGGTACCTTCTTTATTTTCCCGCCGAANGGTAAGTTGTGCTTTCAACTTCCTCGGCAGCAAAGGACAACTCTAGATCACTAATTGAATCCTCTTCCAACCAGTCGCAGACGTCTTCATCTAATGCGCCCACCAGCTCGTTGTTCTCCGCACAGCTGCAGCATTTTTCAAGTGAAAGTAACCCGCAGCGCTCGCAAGGTTTTAATTCATCCTTCCCTCTGGGATGACTTACCAAGTTGCAAATAACTTGATTACATAAGCTCGTTGTGGCAGTTCTTTCTTCCCCATTCCACGTAGGTTCTCTGTTGCCATTTTCTAATGGTTCCACACTTTCTCTGGTACCTTCTTTATTTTCCCGCCGAACTTCTACTTGCGTCGTCTTGTCCTGTTTCAGGAGACTCTTGGTAGGTGTACCTGCACCTTCACTAGCATCACTGACATGTGGAACATGAACATCAAGGAATGGTTCGTTGTTCCATTCATCATCCCAATCAAAGTCACACTGTGTAGTTTCTCTGTTTCCTGTTGAAGTATATTCTCCATTCGTATGTAAAATCTCTTGCATTTCAGAGTTAAATGAATCACTGCTCCTGTGATTACCCTCCCGATCCTCAAACTCAGCCGCAAAATTGCAAAGCTCTTCATCATCACAATCATCTGACGCAAACTGGAAAAAAAATCAGGATTGACGTAGTGTTATGTTCATTTTCGACATGAGTACATGGAGCAACTCAAAGTAAGTTCTAGAAAACCCATTTAATACATGTATGAGATGAAGGAACGCAATTAACATCTAAGATTCTGTTCTTTTTTCAGGGAAGGGAATACGTCATCGGCTTGAATAACTTTCACTTTAGTTAAATTACCTGAGGACTTGACAATGGATTAATATTTTCCGGAATGGGCTTATCTGAAAAAATGAAATAAAGATAAAATGTTTGTATTGGAGCTGACTGGAGTAAGTTGCAATGGATGACATATTAAACTATGTTTCAATTCTCCACTATTAGAACAACGACGACACAGTAATTGACAAATTGTGCAACGGGGGTTTGGTACAAGGTTGGCGCATGGTTGGTCCAAGGTTGAAGAAGGGTTGGTGTAAGTTGGAACATGGTTAGCACCCGGTTTAAGCAATGTTGGTGCAAGATCACTTGGAGTAGAGTTAAAAAAGCGCTTCAACGGGCTTTTATTCCATGAAATCGTATTGTGGATTTATGGAACGGCCTGCTTGTAGCCATCAGAACAATTGATCAATTATCATCGTTTAGTACGAAAGTGTATCAGTTTTATATTAGTAAATTCAACTTAAATAAGGATAAATTTTTATAGTTTTCTGATCACGTATTGTTGTTGCGATTTGTCAATATTAGTATTCTATGTATTTTCTATCTTATCTCAGGCAGTTTATTTAAAATAAGGAATCTAGAATTCTGTATAAACTGGCCTACATGTAATTACTAAGATATCTCCTTTTTATATTTTTAGATATATTTAATTCTTTACTTTATTTTATTTTGATCATCTGTGTAATTGAATTTGAGTTAATTATTTTATAAATAAATAGATAAATATATAAATAAATAAAAAAATGTTTCGTTTGTTGTCGTTTCTCCTCTTGCTCTAAAACTAAGATTCCAAGTTACAGTTTAATCCAGGTTGAGGAGTCGCCATAAATAATTTCTTTTTTATTTATTTTGACTATATAATCTGCTGGGTTCTTGTTAACCCACCAGGAGAGCGATAGTCAATGTTTTTACAATCAGGGTCATGACACTTCTGGTAGTATACACCAAGCCTCAAATCTGCCACCATCCTGAAAAGACAAATAAAAATCCTTCAACTTAGGGATGCTTTAAATCGTTTCAACAATGGTTATCGTACAAAAAAAAATTTGTTTGTAATATAGGTGGTTGAACGCACATCATTACAATAGTCCTTGAACATTACACCTTTACCAAGGTGTCTCTATCGTAATTTAGCATAAATCTACTAGCATTTTCTCATGAATGCCGTTCTCTGATTGGCCACGCTACTCACTATCTATTCTGTTTTAGTAGAAATCAACTAGCGTTCTATCACGAACGTCGTTCTCTTATTGGCTACGCTACTCAGTATCTATTCTGTTGTAGATAGTGAGCAGCATAACAGTGTACGCTTGTTAACCAATTGACGTCCGCTTCTTTGCTTTTTCGAGGTGTCTGTAAAGAAAATTTAGATAAAGTTTTGAACGCCTAGTGGATTTATACTAAAACAATTAGATTAATCGCTCTCGATTTCTATGCGTGATAGTTGATTCGGGCTGCGCGATAGAAATCTCGAGCTCATAATCTAATTGTTCAGTAGATAGTGAGTAGCGTAGAAGTTTGCGGTTGTTGACAAAATGACAGCCGCTTCTTTGCGTTTTCGAAGTGTCTGTGAAGAGGGTTAAATAAAGTTTTGAACGACAAGTAGATGACTATTCAAAAAAATTAGATTATTCGATCCGGATCTCTTTGCGTGATAGTTATGACTGCGTGACTATTTCGCGTTTTATGTAATCATAAGTCAAAGTTGTGCAGAATGAGCTTCACCAAATCACAAGAATAAAGCAACAAATCTTAGAACAAAGTAACAAACTCGTGAGTGTTCGTACATTATATGGTTGCTCTTGTGTGGTCTCCCAATGTTCTCACACCAGCGGTTCTTGAGAATGTCGTAAGTCAGCAATTTCCCTGTACAAGGAATTATTTAAATTTCTCTCAGTGAAATGATATACAAAATTAAAATCAAGTTAAGCCTAATGTCTTTTCACGGGAGTGTCTGTATCGTTAGCTGACTAAGCTAGTAAATACCTTGTGGAAAGAAGACCCATCTTCTGACCTCACCCTGCACTCCACCCTTGTTAATGACTTGTGATATAAAATTGTCAATCTCAGGATATGGAGAGTGTTCATAACCACTCTGGGAAGACGGAGGACTCGCTGAAAACAAAAAAATCCTTACTTTCAGCCAAGAGTAAGAACATTACGCAGTCGTCTTGTCAAACAAAAAACAAAAAGAAACGTTATAATTACTGAACAGACTGAAGGTGGCTCCCTACAGTGTTACGATGACACGCGCGCTCAGGCGAGAGCTTTAGTGATCTGCGCACGCTCAATAGAAAACGTCAGGGTTTCCTATATGTTGTGACGTCAGGATGACCCCATTCCCCACAAGGCAAAGGTAACAGTGAATATTCCCGCGTTTCCTTCGGTGAAAACGCACAACATTTGGCGGAGTGGTTANGCCATTTCTGTACAATTTAAATCACTTCAGTCCACTCAAAAAGTTGCTTAAGTCATTTATTCATAGGCATTGTAGCCCTGCCTATGGTTCTCTCTCTTGTAATTATTGATAGGTTGACCCTTTTTATTGGCTTGAAAATGCTTGAACTATAGATGATAGGCACTTACTGTTACATTATAGGCACGCAATGAGTGCAGACCTCTAAGTATCCAAAGTGCTAGCTTGCATTACAGACTGTACACATGTAGAAACAGGTAATTTATTTAACAATACAACTGTTCTTGTACTTACACACATTTACCTTAAAGGTGTTCTGGCTGGATAGTAGAAGATGGGAATTTCTCCCAATCTTTGTTGATTTGAAAATTCTAAAGTTTCGATTCTTGGTATAAACTCCTGTAAGTTAAAAACTAAATTAGTCACTGTGATAATCACAATTGAAAACAACAGATGCCACCATTTTCTACCACTTTCCATCACGACGTTCTACATGTTCAGTATGTACATACAATCGCTTACTTGCAAGTGTAACATACCTTGGTCACAGAATGTCCCAAAACCGCCTTTTCCATCCTTGATGATAAGCTCTTGCAATTCTTGGAGGCCAACTAGAAAAATTACATGTAAAATGTCTTCAGGAAACATCTTTCTCTGTAAGTCTTACTGTGCACTTGTTTCTATTGTGGTAGAGTGATATCGGCCTTATGTGCCACTTAGGCACAATGAGGGTTATGATGTATGAAGAGTGATTTTCATTTGAGTGTTGAAAGTAAATCACATCTGCTTTAGTTTTCCATTACTACATGTATGCTTTAAGTGATTTGCTTAAAAGCCTTGTCACTTTGTCATCCAATAAGAAGTAATACAAACTCAATCTTGACTTAGTTAGACTATTTATACCTGAAGCAAAGCTTTCATCTTCTTTCTCTCCTGTGCTTTCACCAACATCAGCAAGTACATTTTCCATCGACAGCTCATCCTTGGATGTTGAATGTGGATTATCAGTATCACAGTCCACATGTGTTGACATGTCCTTGTTGTTTGGCATCTCAGATCCAAGGCCAAGCCTCCTTTCTAATAATGCGCAAATGTGTCGCACAAAGTTTCCTGAGAGATGAAACAGCATTTTAAGAAATATTTCAATATGAACATTGGTTTTAGCACAACAAAAAAGACCTGTTTATCACCAGGGTTATTGACCTGATGGACACCCTCCCCTTCTGTAAATTGTGTGTACTTTTCAAAGAAAACTAATTTATGAATTGCTTGAATGAGGATAATTTGAAAAAAAAATCTAAAAAGGAACATGTGTACCAAAGGCATCCACAGTCAAGTGTCGATGGAACCTTTGATCAATACCCTCAGTCAACCTTCGGTCAACCATCAATCAACACTCCATCGACACCTACATGTAGGTTGACACTCAATCGACACTCCATTGACATCTTGGTCGACAGCCGGTTGACAGTCGCCTAATTTTCAATCGATGCATGTGACTCAGTCATTACTCGGCCGACTATCAACGAACTGTTGATCAAGTGTCGATCAAGTGTCGACTGTGTATTGATCAGGATGTCGATCAAGTACCGATCAAGATGTTGATCGAGGGTATCAATCAAGGGTATCAATTGACACCCAACTGCTGATGCCTTTAGTACGGATGATCCCAGAAAATAACCTCACATGCTTAAATTTGACCCACATTCCCCTAAGAAGATGTCACCTTCCCGGCCACATTCAAAGTAAAAGACACCTACTTTTTCAATCATGGCTAGATTCTTGTTCATTGGCAGTATGAAATTAAGCAATTTTTATGCATGCATCCAAAAAAAACACTGATTGTTTACTTTTAACACCTTTAGGGGCTACACTGCACATAAAGTCTGAGCAATTGCACCACCTTGATGAGAGCCTCAAGGCTGCGCCGATTAGTGCATAAGTATTAGCAACATGTGCAGACATACTGGTACAACATTGTTTACCAACAGCACCAGAATCAAGTAGTAGGGGTATAGATGGTCCTTGAAAACTGATGGGTCTCGGAAAATTTTCACCAAGTCTCAAAATCTCGCGACTCAACCTCGCGGTGGCCTAGAAGGGACATCACCTTTTTTTCTCTGTGACTCCTTTTTTTCATCCCCAATTTTTTTTTTTTTCGGACTTGAAAAATCTCAGTCTTTGATCTTTAATGAGGGTCTCATTGTCTCGGCAAGTCTCGGATTTTACCATTCTATACCCCTAGTAATGACATGTCTATCTCACCAGCATGGATATTATCCTTAAAAACAGCACCAGGCAAGTGGAAGATAAGATGTCTTGAAAACTTGGTAGGTGTGCTAAAACCACAATAACAAATTGTTAGAAACCCAGGAAGATTCTAGTTTTAAGGCCCTGCACTACGAAGTTAGAGGACTCAAATCACTTAGGATGCATTGGTCAAGGATGTTGAAGTTTAGAAGATAGTTTAACAAACGTTTATACACATGTGTAACTAACCTTGAATCCAAATCTATAATAAACTTTCTGCCGCAGGTTAAGTCATACATATCCTGCAGATGGTGACAAACATACTGCAAAAAGAAAATGACACAATTTTAAGTGGTTTAGGTGTCATTATAACACTATGGTCATGTGCATGTAAAGATACAGTGTGACCAAGATTTTGAAAACATCAAAACTAGCATATAACTACCAGTGCATGTAGGTGTAACTAAAATTATAAGTCACCACCTTTGCTTGTTAAGTCCAGTGAGACATTCCTAGGATACCAATTTTAGTAGGGGAGTGCTAACCAGCTCTCCTAATTGTGACCAGGTCAAGATACATTATTTTCTGATATCTATTTTCAGACCCAATTGACTGATTACCTACAGTGGTTTACAGTACTCTACCAAACTGAATATTAATACTCTCTTACACTGTATTCATTTGTAGATAAAAAGACATTCAAGTTAAAAGAGAACTCAAGATGTTTACATATTATGCTCCGACTGTGGTTTTCTTTGAGGAGGCAGCATGGCTGAGTGGTTAGGGCACCGGAATTGAAATCCGGAGGTGAGGAGTTCAAGTCCTGCACTGAACACTAAGCTGGAGTTGTTTCTCAGCAGAGCCTGGTTCAACTCCTCAGTCATGCTTGTAAATAGCCAACTGGTCTGCCTCCTGCCAGTTAGAATTTTTAAGCTTATTTGAAATATTTCTTCCTTTCACTTTAAATGTCACGCTTCAGAACTAGCAAGGTTTAGCTAAATTCATTGTCCACTGTAACAATTTTTTTTTCTTAAAACCCATACTCAATTTCAGAACAAAATATAATGTAGCATAATCCAGAGTGTACCTACACTCATTTTTTGGACCAATACAGCTCATAACATACTCTCCGAAGGAGCAAGCACCTATATCCACAGCCTACATCAAGAGTACCTCATCCTTGATATAAATGTTACCTTTATAAAAGTTTCAACCATTTTGGCTCCATCCTTCCCTGGATTAAGGTCACTTTTGAACTCCAAGTCAAAGTACAGCCTACAGGCAGCCCCTGGAACGTACAAATTATGTCGTCAAATCACACATGTAACAGAACCTAAAAATACAGTGTAGCACTAAATGCTTAAAGATACAAAAAGAAAGAAAAAATGGAAAAGTACCTTCAGGTATAACTTCATAGTAATTTCTGTTTTCAGGAGAACACTTCCTGTCAATTAAAATTCCTCTATCAGGTTAGGTCTATTTAAAGCATGTGGTTCAAAGTAACTAAATTTATCTAAACATATGGCTTGAAAGAGTGCAGACAATAAAACTAATTGCCCTTCAACAAGACACACATCTAACTGTTCTAACTGTTGTGCTTTACTCTAGAATTTGCACTTGGTTTATTATCCAAGTAGTGATAAATTATGAGGTAAGTATCATGGTTCCACTGTTTTTGCAGTGTGACAGTGCCTGGTGGTTGCCGCTCACAGGGTTGTCATGGTTGCCCTACAACTCGGCTCTTGTGCACAGGGTTGTCATGGTTACCCTACACGCTTGGCTCTTGTGCTCGAGGCTCCACTATCTTTCCAGGCACCTTCCCCAAGCTCATCTATTGTTGATGAGTTTAACTGATTTTTAACTAAAGTCCCTTTTTTAGGTATGTAATTTGTGATGCCCTCATGTTTTGTTCAGTTATAGTGAATACAGCACAGGGTTCACTCTCTAGTAAACCATACCTTGTGTAGTTAAACCAAAACTGGGGTAAAGTGGCAACAATGTAGAAACGTTTTCCATCACAATCCTTTTCTCTAGCAAAGACATGAACATCCTGCCAAAAATTATAAAAACTTTATTAAAATACTTCACCTTGGTCTTTAACCCTGGAAGTGTAAATTATCTCAAACACCAAATGAACCTACTGTACCTCTCATGGTTAAAAATCAGAAGGCTCATCTCACTTACTTGCTGACAAGTCTTAAGATAATCAAAGGCCATTTGTTGACGAGGGAAGGTTTCAAATATAGGTACAGGGTCATCTATCCTGATTGATTGAGAGGCATGTGTAAATCATACACTGATTATATCAATCATAAAATTAACAAAGAGTAAGCGATTGACGTGAAAGTCCTCAAAAAAATTCCTCAATCAGTTTTTCATTTCTGTTTCCTACCTTAGATGTCTTGTGGGTATTACAGGGTTTCTGCTGAAGTCATTGGCACATCTTTCCAACTTAATCTTCTTCTGTTCCCAATTTCTGTTTGATCTGCCACATCAGGAAAGGGACACACAGGGACTTACAGTATATTCTAAACTAATGTAGAGTACTGGAGTATCATTACAATCAAATGAACCTACTGTACTCCTCGTGGTTAAAAAAATGTTCTCCAGTCATGTACTTTTTGTAATTTCTGTGATTTATTTACTTGTACTACAGTACATGTAACATGACAAAGTATTATTAAACTTTAACTTAATCCAAGAATTACAAATCTAAGGTTTCTTCAAGCCCAAGACTTCTATAGGAGAATACAGTGTCTGAACTCCCGAAAAGGTTTATACCCTTCCTGCCCTTGAGCAACATGTAGTTCCTTGGGAGTCAGCTTAATATTTAACTTTTGATAATCACAAAAACAGTCAACGATCAACGATCAACAAGATCGGGAGAACTCGAAACACCCGTGGAACTCTAGTGTAGTCTACGGCTTATTTCCCGTTCTCCCGATCCCAAAACCCCACTCGTGTTTCGCAATAGAAAAATGCGAAATTGTTTTCCATCAGGAAGCTATAGTCCGGCGTATACGTGTAAATAGTAGAACTCTGGTACATCAGCTGTCTACGTACCTCTTTGAACTGTCCCCATAAAACTTCCTGATCTTAACATCGCTTTTTGCCATCGTGTAAGCGAACAATTCTCATATATTCAGTCTTGAACATTGTACATGTACATGTTCACCCCTGCATTCAAAAATATTCTCAGATCAGAGAAAGAGATGAAATCCACCATGTTTTTTCAATCTTTCGCGCGTAATAACGCGCGACAGTGTTTGTGGGAAATAATACCATATTTAGCATGCTATACGATTGCAAAGCCTTCTGGGAGAGTTATCGATAACGCGTGTCTTTTACATTTCTTTACCGGCGAAACTCATGGAGGAAGTTTTGCAGTTGTAAACCAGTTTTTGCGAAGCTTTTGGAGGGTAATTTTCGCTTTGATATCAGGGTAAGATGTCAAAAAGAAGACTGGATGTCGATGGCAACTCTTCCAATTCAGTCAGCACCGCGAAAAGGATTCGAGAAGAGTTGAGGTAGGCAAGCGGCATTGTGCAGAGGGTGAAATTGGCAGCTGTTGAATCTGCGGAAAAAGTGAAAGTTTCTGCTTGAATAACTGCCTTTGCTATTCCATAGGTGTGTTAAATAAGTCTGTGACTCACAGGATCCCGCAAACTGGCTAAAGTTTACTTTCAATTGCTGCTGTGGTGTTTTTTCAGCACTGTACTTTTACACGTACAATACACAGTCAGTTCCAAACACTTACGGAATGAAAAAAAAAATTGATGGAAGCTTTACTGAAGTTTACAACCATTTTTTTCTCTTCCATTAAGTTTAATAGTGCAAAATTGACTTGTTAATAATCACTTCTAACCATTTGTTAAGAAATCATACATTCAGTGTCCTAAGTCAAATTATAAGGTTGCAATTCCATGAAATAAAAGTGTTAAGCTTATGTAAGCCTCCATCCACTCGTTCAGAATTTTCCTTTCTTTATTTTTACTTTCGTTTGATACTGCTGAGTCTACTTGATTTATTTTAATGTATATTTTGTTTGTTTTGTTGTATTTATTTTTTCTGGTATCTTAATCTAACCTTGTCGGGTTTTTTTAGCTGATCTAATGTGTTGTTATTTTCTTTCTCCACTTTTATCAGCAATCCCAGTAATCTACGTGGAAAGATCAACCCCTTCAATGGCAAGCTGTTCTCAGACAGATATTTTGACATTCTTAAGAAGAGAATTGAGCTGCCAGTATGGGAATACAGAGAAAAGTTTATGGAGAGTATGAAAGAGCACAAAGCTTTTGTTCTTGTTGGAGAAACGGGATCTGGGAAGACAACACAGGTATATAATTTACAACGTACCTATCTTGTGACAAACCCGAAATATGTCCTTGTCTCGCATGTAGATTTCTCTTACATAAGTGGGTTTGTGTGAACAACTCCTACATGTTCACTGTACACCACTAAACATCATTGTGCCGTATTCTTGGATGGACACTTTACTCTCACAGTGCCTCTCTCCACTTAGGAATATAAATGAACACTTGCCAACTGTTAGGGCAACCTGGCACAATTTGCGGTTCCTGAAAATAGCCAGGCTCACCCCATGCATAATCTTGGAAATTCAGAGGATAACCAGTTTTGTAAGGGAAACTTTCCCCCAGATGGTCAAACCAGGCAGGCAAAATCATCCTGGCACCGGTTAATTTACCTGGTGCCTGGCCCTTAATGAAACCCCAGGGGTAATGTATGGGAGATCAGAAATAGTGACACTCCAGTGAGAAACTAAACCAGACTTCAATGCAGGTGTGAATTAGTTATCCTGTTGTTTACACGTAGTGAAAAAGTACATGAATGAATAACTCATTGACATATGATGTAATGAATGACATATTGCAGATTCCTCAGTGGTGTCTTGAAACTCGCATGGACAAGCGCAAATGTGTTGCCTGTACTCAGCCCAGAAGGGTAGCTGCCATGAGTGTTGCTCAGCGTGTCGCTGATGAACTGGACGTGATGATAGGTCAAGAAGTTGGGTACACCATTCGATTTGAAGACTGCACCAGTCCCAGAACAATACTGAAGTAGGTATTTACGGTTTAGCAGCCCCTTGAGAAAATTACCTAATCAAATAACTAATATTTCACTAACAAGGTGTTGTGTTCTAGTTTGTTGTAGTTTGTTCTGCTTGTGAAAGATGAACATATAGTGCATGTAATTGAAATTATGGAAGTGTTTAAATTATACCAGAGAGAAAACTGCATAATTTGAAGTGACCCGATTTATATTATTTTTCTCTCTGCTGATGCAAAATTGCATCAGAGACTTGCACTACATGTAGTCTACACTTCAATACCAATGATACAGGTTTCAAACTGAAGAAAATCTTGTAGGAAGAAGGGAATTATAGGCATTTCTTTGCCGATACAATACTAACCAACTTCTACAAAATAGGAGAAGCGTGTCACAGTTATTAAGGATTGTTTTATTTTAGGTACATGACAGATGGTATGCTGCTACGTGAAGCTATGACAGATCCTTTGCTGGATCGTTATGCTGTCATTTTGCTTGATGAAGCTCACGAGAGAACTCTCGCAACTGATATCCTCATGGGTCTACTGAAAGAGGTAAACATACAGTGTGCAAGCTGACATTTTCAGTTACTTTTATTCATATACAAGGAGATGGATGGTGGGTGGTACAATGATCGAACTGAAGGGTTTTAGACTCTGGATACAAGTCATAGGTGTAGGCTTGGGACTTTGACATGGTGTGTGTATTATGTTATGTTCTTTGGCAACTTGACAAAACCTCTCACCATGCATAAGTGTAAAGGAGGTTAATAACCTGCTACTGAGTGGTATTGTTTACTCATTGAGTGTCAGGGCTCAAAAAAAAGTGCCGTACTTGTCTTCCTGTGATTTTTCATTTTACAGGCAAGTCATCCACCAGCTAAATCAGAGCAATAGTAAACCAAGACTTGCCCAGGACATGAAGCAAAATTTTAGAATTCAAGTTTCTTGTCAAGCCCTGGATATACCTTACTCACAGAAACAACACACCAAACCGGCGTCACTTCTCACATCATTTTTCTCCACAGGTCGTGCGTCAAAGACATGACCTCAAGATTATTATCATGAGTGCCACTTTAGATGCTGGAAAGTTTCAGGACTACTTTGATAAAGCTCCTCTCATGACAATACCTGGACGGACACACCCTGTGGAGATCTTCTACACCCCTGAACCTGAGCGAGACTACCTGGAGGCAGCCATAAGAACAGTTGTACAGATTCACATGTGTGAGGAAGTGGAGGGTGACATTTTGCTCTTTCTCACTGGGCAAGAGGTTTGCTTCAACGTCATTCTAAGTTTGATGAATCCTGTTCAAGTGTTGGGATTCATTCACAGCCTTAAAGTTTAAAACAACCATTTACGGCATAATAAACAGGACAATATAAAATTACTGCTCAATACAGGTAGCTTTCATTTGAATAGTTGCACTCTAGCTAAGTGTTTCAACGACAGACTTTCGAGTTAGATACAATGTACATGTAGAACCAGTTTGTACAACATCATAAACACTCCAAATGCTCAAAAATAATTTTTGAAAGCATTTATTTGAATCGTCACTCACTAGGATAGCATTCTCTGACTTGTGTCCTTAAATGTTTAGACTGTTTTTCAAGGCTTGACAATTAGCAGCTCTAGGTGTAAATATACATTCAAGGATGTGAAGATTCTCCCAGTTTAAGATCTTGAGATTTAACTGTGTATGTTATGATGTCTGCCAATCTAACTATGGCACATCATTAGTGCTTCAAATTATTTTGTTCTCTTCACCCAGGAAATTGAAGAAGCTTGTAAGAGATTAAAGAAAGAAATTGACAACTTGGGTCCTGAAATAGGAGAGCTACGCTGCATTCCCCTGTACTCCACACTTCCTCCCCAACAACAGCAACGCATCTTTGACCCTGCTCCACCTAAACGACCTAATGGTGCCATTGGTCGCAAGTGTGTTGTATCAACTAACATAGCTGAGACATCCCTCACAATTGATGGTGTTGTGTTTGTTATTGATCCTGGATTTTCAAAACAAAAGGTTTGTTTTACATACAGTGTAGCTGTAATATCCTTATCCTAAGTAAAAGTTCATGTATAAGTTTGTGGTTGTCAAGACTAATGGCTCAGACAAACAGCACAATTTCTGTAGCAAGAAAAAAATTGTCTTGTTCAAGGATTGCTTCATGCACTACAACTGAATAGAATGCTAGCAATAGATGGATTTATTTGCTCTCCAGCTACTTTGAGAGTTACATGTAATTCTGTTGTCCAAGAAAACAGTGTAAAGACAGGGATGTTCACTGTACATGCAGGCGAGCACACTAAAAATGTACACAATATTGTTATAATCTGAGCACTTTTTACCTTTGATTGTGATCATTTTTTTATGTAAACACAGGTGTATAACCCTCGCATTCGTGTAGAGTCCCTGCTAGTTTCTGCCATCTCAAAAGCCAGTTCACAGCAGAGAGCAGGTCGTGCTGGCCGTACCCGCCCTGGCAAGTGCTTTCGACTCTATACAGAGAAAGCTTATCAGAATGAAATGCAGGATAACACGTATCCTGAGATCCTGAGGTCTAATCTCGGTACTGTGGTACTGCAGCTTAAAAAGCTGGGCATTGACGACTTGGTTCATTTTGATTTTATGGATCCTCCTGGTAAGTTTTGTACTTTGCCTAGCAAGTGATTATTAAATAATGGACCATTTTGGTATTCTGCTGTGACATTCCTTTATTCCTTCAGGCTCCTAGTCGAGCAAAGGGTGCGAATTCTCTGCTGTACTGGATTACAAACTAGAGATACTTGCAATAGGCCAAGTTTGTCAAGTTATTATTCAGTCTAGCACTGAGGCTTGGCAGGGAGAATCATGTCTGAAAGGTTTTAGTGATAAACAAAATTAATAATTTATTTTTGTTATTTTCACTAAACATTGGAACCAGAGGGGCTCGGGATTCGTTTTGGATTGTGATAATGATTATTTTCCGGTGTCATCTTTCTCTAGCCCCTGAGACCTTGATGAGAGCTCTTGAGTTGCTGAATTATCTGGGTGCCCTTGATGACAACGGAGATCTGACATCGCTTGGTTCCATGATGGCAGAGTTCCCCCTCGACCCACAGCTTGCCAAGATGGTGATTGCCAGCTGTGATCATAACTGTTCTAACGAGATCTTATCCATTACTGCCATGTTGTCAGGTAATGTCAAGTGCATCAGTATTTTAATACTGTGATGTAGGAAACATGCATTTGGCATCACTAGCTATTATGCTTTGCAGGGGTTTCATTGATGTCTTCAACAGGAGGGCAACTGGTTTTTACAGGCAGGCAAAACTTTTTGAACTGAACTTCATGTTAGAAAAATGTTCCTCTAGATGGTCAAACCAGGCAGGCAATAATTATCATCCTCAGAGCCAGTCAATTTGCTCAGTGCCTGTCCCTTAATGAAACCCCTTGCTTTGTGCTGTGAAAGATCAAACCATGAGACTAATGTACTTTGGTGCTTTGGTATAGTTTGGCCCAGAAAAAAAAAATGGTATCTGAAGATGCCATTTTATTTTAGCTGTGCTTGGTTTCTGTCCTCGGCTTACTACAGTTCAAGTATTTGTTAATGCATGTTATTCAAGTTCCACATGTAAAACAGTTATATTGTTATCTATCTCTGAATTGTAACAAAACGTTATTGTGGTTGACATTAAAATATTTGTTGTTAGTGTGAAGGAAATTATAATTATGATTATATTCTGCTAAAATTCCTTAGTTCCTCAAGTGTTCCTGAGGCCAAATGAAGCAAAGAAAGCTGCTGATGAAGCAAAAATGAAGTTTGCTCACATTGATGGAGATCACCTCACCTTGCTGAATGTTTACCATGCTTACAAGCAAAGTGAGTTGGACGTGCAGTACCATACTGTAGTCTACACTGTACCATTCAACAATTAGATGCTGAGCTCGAGGTTTCTTTTGCATGATAGTTGACGAGGGCACAGTCGAAGTAAACTATCATCCATAGAAATCAAAAACAAATAATCTAATTGTTTTAGTATAAATCTACTAGTTAATCATTCTGTCATATGCTTGTCAAACGGGATCAAAATGTCGAAGAGTGATATTTCTGTACCGAGTTGCCATATTTATGTCCCAATTACATTATATATATCCAAAGTGCAATATATATGTCCAAAACTGCGATATGTATATCCAAATCTGGCGACCTGTTTTCGTTCTATATATAACAGTCAAATGATTTTACATATTTCAATACAGTTTCGATATAAATATTTCACGGACTTTTCTCAATATGTATTTCATGCGGTCAGTATTTCATGTAAGTCTACATGACCTGTCCC